TATATATATTTATAATATATACATATATAAGGGGTGTAAATCACCAGCTTTACCACAATACTATATTATATTGATTTTTTTTTGTATGACGATACAATTTTTCTCGATATCGCAAAGTCTGTCACGATACGATTTCGATTCTTTTCGATTCACAAATCTGCGATCGATATATTGCGATATCAAATGTCCATCTCATTTACATATAAATACATTTACAAAGATAATTCAAATGTGATTGAACTATTTTATTTCTGTTATTACAGGCACCGGGCATTTAAATAAAAAAAAAAACTTAATTAATGAAAAAATAAAAATAAATGTCCTGTTCAGTATAGTCTCACATTTCTCATGTTTATGTGTATTTTTAAACCAGTTCACTTAAAAGTGCCCAGATTACTTTTCAGTTATAAAGAAATAAAAATAGATATTGAGCTTACGGCTATCAATGCTGTCTTTCTTCTTCAGGTGAACGTCCAAATTTGTTGTGTTTCCCGAGTATTTTAACTCACACTGACACCTGTTGCCTACGACATGAGTTTTGTCTGTTGAGACGTCTTTCTGTTAGAATCCAAAATATTTCCACAGTGTTGATTTAAATCCAGCAGGAGAGTGAATTTCTTTGTGTTTTCTGCTTCGTAATGCCATGTTGCTGAAGCGGCCGCAGAGCGCAGCCAAACACGGAAATGTTGACGCAGATGTGACTTGGGAATTTCTAAATAAAAGTGTATTTTAAAGATCACGATATGAATCAATGTTTTAGTTTTGCCACAATGTATTTGAATCATTAATCATTTAATCGATATATCGATGTAAAGTTACACCCCTTATATATATATATATATAAGGGGTGTATATATATATATAAAATAATATATATAAAAATATATATATATATATATATATATATATATATATATATTTATTTTATTTTTTTATTAAAGTAACATATGAAATAATAGAAGCTCTCTAATCCTTTGTGAATTTGTCTTAAAAACATCCTTACTGACTCACTGCTCACTTTTATCTTTCAGCTACAGTCCCACTAAAGGGTTTGCTTGCCGCAACCAGGACCAGAAATCTGGCAACTGCAAGGACTACAAAGTTCGCTTTGGATGCATTTGTACTATTAAACGCCCGGCTTAAGTATCTCAATAACTCCAAAATGAAGAAATGAATGTTGTGGCTTACATGATTTCTGCCATTACATGTTCCATTTATTATAACTCTTGCCATTGAATGCATATACATACTGCATATCTCAGTAAATCTTTTCATTGGACAAGTGGATGAGTGATGGGTACTGTTCTTTGTTTGTTACTAGGATCCCTTTTACTAACTATGCTGTGGTATAATGCTTTTTGTGCTTTATTTTTAAAAGATGGACAAGGTTCTAAAAATATAGATTTTACCATGAGGAAACAAATCAACAGCAATAAAAGCAGTCAAAGTTATTTTCTCTTTTTTTCAACCCAGAATATATAAAACAAGCCCTATAATAAGTTACAATTTAGTTTAAGGATGAGAGACAAAGCCTCTAGATATTCAAAAACTTGGAATTTCATCGGTTTTGAAATGTGCTTAGGTTTTGACGCTTGCTTTAATTTGCAAACTAACAGCTTGATTTCATTAAGAATAATACCATCAATTATGAAATCTAAAAACTTCAAAAAATGTATTAAAAGTAATAATGCATTTGGATCAAGTCACTGTAAGAAGTGTGAAATCACCTCACCTGTTAAACAAATCTTAAGAGTAAAACTAACGCAAAAAGAAAATAACACATTTCCCTGAGTTGCTACAGCTTTTGTTGTTTTTATGCCACAATCCTTTTCTATCAGGTCAGATAATCTTACATGGGTGTGGATGGAGACATTCATAGTGACAGATTATGTTTCTTTTATAAGACTCCAGTTTGTCCCTCAGACATACAGGTTGTAAAGTGTTGAAAACATGAGACAAACCACAAACTTCTCAACCATTATGGGACCAAACATGGGATATTTCATGCTCCTAGTTTTAGTTGATGAAATAAAGTGATTTTTTTTTATTATTATTTTAGGTCAAGGGCACAGTTTTGCAAATGTATATATTTTATTAGGCAATAAAAAAGTCACAGATAAATTAAAAAAATATACATAATCATAATAAACAAAAGTGAAAAACTTTTACAGCAGCTCAAATCATGTTTGTCATTTCATTCTAAACTCTTAAACTAAACCGAAAACTGTTGTGTCTGACTTGAACTTGCCAGTTCACTGTGAAAGTTTTCTACCAAACTTACAGCGTTCATCACATCTCAAGTCAAATGAGCTACAAAACAAGCCATAACCCTATTTAAGAAGCGTTTTCATCTTATTTAGATTACTACACAAACAGCTTTTTTTATTTATTTATTTTTACAAACAACATATTTAACAAACAACTTGTAAGCCCCATTCTAATTGGCAGATACAAAACTTATAAACGCCTGTAATCCTGTCAAATTTTACAAATATTTTGATGTAATGTTTAATAGGGCTAATAGCCAACACATTATGGTTATTCACTGATTATGCAAGATCTTTATTGAAAATTTACCCAATAACTATCCAAATGAAATTGGTACATTACATCACAAAAATAAATAAATAAATAAAACACTGGGTGGATTTTAATAAATTTTTACAAAGTTATCAATGAATGTACCTTTACAACAGATCAGATTTGGTCAATCAAATTCAAAATGATCGCCACAGCTGCTAGACCTTACCAACACAATAATGGCTAAACTCAGTGAATTATGCAGAAACTGAATTCAAATTTGGTGCGTTGGAAGCTGAGCATCGTTTATCAAAAACTTGTCATGTAACAATATTTTCAGGCCGTGATCAAAACAGCTGATTCCATCATTTCTCAACATAAGATGACCTTAGTCTAAAACATTGTCATGAAAGGTGACCTTGAAGGAATGCCTTCATAGAGTACCTCTTAGGGTTTAAAGTTTTGTCCAAGTGAATATGTGGACTGAAACCACTCATCACGAGAAGTTTTTCTTTAAGAGAACATACAGGTATTCTTTACCTAAGCTAAAACTGTTAGCTTGGGATTTAGAATTCCTTAGAAAGATGCTGTTACAATCCTTGGACTGAGTCTAGGAAGCACAGGGTGTAACACAAATTGTAAACTAAACGCAAATGCTAATGACTCGAAAACAGGCCAGTTTGGCATTACAATGATTTATTCTAATAGTTTTGGGCGTTACAGACAGAAATGAAGCCATGAACTACAGGGTCTTCAAGGCTAAAACAACAAATACAAAGAGCTCCCTGGCTGGCCACAAAACAGAAGAAAAGTTAGTTAAAATAAAATGGCGGAGAACCCCTACCAAGCTTCCCATCGAATTAAAAGTAAGATCAGAACAGTCTTCTCAGAGTTGCTAAAATACTTTGTACATAAGAGTTAAATTCAGAGTCAACCACATGACATCAGTGCTCAGGGCCAAGTGGAAATGCCCAAGAAAAAGGGGCGTGGCACTGGATCACTGAAGCTTTTATGGAGTCCAGGAGGAAGTGAGTCCAGGTGTGCAGCATGGTGTGACAGCAGACCTGTAAACAAGCAAAGGAGGAGGAAGGTTGTCCTCTAGTAAGAGAACCCCTAGAAATCAGTGGACGTAACAGAGCATCCTGTGCTCCAGCATCATCGTGTGGCATGGAGGCTGCACAGCTGCAGAAGGAAAAGTTTTCCAGAGAGTGTTGAAGGCTGCACAGAAGTCTGTTGGAGTCAGTCTCCCCACCTTCACATCTACGCCTCCAGATGCAGAAAGAGGTCCACCTGCATCATGAAGGACCCCACTCACCCAGCACACACACTTTTTGCCCCACTCCCCTCAGGTTGAGGAGCATTAAGTGCAGAACCACGAAGCTGAGGAACAGCTTCTACCCTGAGGCTGTTACTCATGAATCTCTAATCAGAAAAAAATCACTGTGAAAATTACTGTGAAAAATCAATATGAAAAAAAAAAAAAACTGTGAAAAATTGCTGTAGCCACTTAATTGTTGCTATGTGCTGCTGACTATCCATGCTGCTGATTATTTTATGTTGCTGTGTTCATTAGTCCTCATCTGCTCACACAGACTCATGTTCGTGCTGCTGTTGTTTTGGCACATTGTTTTTGTACTATTTGTGCTTAGTGTATTCTTAGTTTAGCGAATGTAATATTTTCTTAGTTCATTACTCGGATCTTACTAATGTTTTTCTTTACAATTTGTTTTTTTGTTGGATGTAACTGGGACCTTGTGTACATTGTTTCATTCCACCTCATGTACCACATGTGATGTGGATGACAATAAAAATCCTTGAATCCTTGAGATGCGTTCACAGTCCTCAACATGTTGGAGTCTGGATGTGCATGGGTTTTCTCCGGGCACTCCGGTTTCCTCCCACAGGCCAAAAACACGCATGTTAGACTGATTGGTAACTCTAAAATTGTCCCTAGGTGTGAGTGAGAGCATGAATGGTTGTTTGTCTCGTTTGTCTCTATGTGTCCCTGTGATGGACTGGAGACCTGTCCAGGGTGTACCCCGCCTCTCACACAGTGACTGCTGGATATGGACACCAGTGACCCCTGCAGCACGAAAAGGAAGAAGCAAGTAAAGATAATCAATGGATGGACGGGCAGACGGACGGAAGGGTGACATTCAAAACAAAGTGCTAACAGGAAACTTGACTGAAGCCAAATTTCTTTTGGTAATTGTAACATGACAGCAGGTGGCACATACATTCATGCATATTGTACATTCAACTGTTTGCACACTCGTTAAAAATGCAATAAATTATAATTGTATTCAAATGAAGTTGTGTCACCATCATAAAATGCAAAACACTTTTTGTTCTGTTTTGATGTTAAAGTGGTTCTGCTGGCACAAGTCCACAAATTCCTTTCTTTGTTTTTTGTACTTCCCATTCTACTTTACTGTAATGAGGTCAATAGAGTCATTAGATAAGTTTTGTAAACGACATGGTGACAGTGTAGTATTGATTGTGGAGTCACGAGTGGTTGTAGAGGATGAAGAGAAAAGAAGCATGAATGGTTCCTTGTGGTACCCCTATGCTGCTGGCCAGATTGTCTGATGTTCCTTGACTTCCAGTAAGGAACTTTGAGATGTACACAGTTGCAGATCACTAAGAGAATACTACATTGTTCTTAGTGTTTTTGATGATACAAATGGTTTGATGTATTTTACATCACTTTATAATGTAGCTGTTGTTGAGTTTTATATATATATATATAATTTCCTCCTTTTACTTTTCATTGTATATGCTTTTTTAATGATTATCTATTGTCATCAGTGTTCTTTGTTTAAAACAGGTATTTCTTATAAATCAGTCCTTGAGATTCCATGAGACTAATCAGTATAAATAAAAGTTGAATTGAGAAAAAAAAAAAGATCAATACAGTATGTGGTATGAAGTAACAACCATAAATACAGTCACTCCAGAGAAGACCATAAATATATGTTCCACACATTTTCCATTGAAAACTTAGCATTTAACTTAGCATATAATTTTAAGCACATTTTGAATCAAAGCTGTTGGTTGTACAATTTTTACTCATGGGCCCTCTTAAAATTGGTATCATGAGATGTAGTATAAAAGCTGTATTTCAGTAAATTATATTGTTTTGGAAAGCTTCATATACAAAGATTTTAAGTTTTTAGTCTGGACATACTATCAAGCACTAGCTTCATGTGCAAAAATATGCCATATTTCCCTAAGCTAACAAAAGTACTGGATACTGCACATTAAATGCCCATCAACACACTATTGTGCAGAAATCCGTAGCAATGACCAGGACAAGCAAAGAATCTTGTTTTAACTTTGACTTTAATTTCTGACCATGACCTTAAAGCTGGTTTGATGAAAAGTGTATGTGATACTCAGTCTGGTGACGCAAATGTGTATGAAGTTTTGGTAAATTATCTTGTTGGGCAGGACAAGAGAAAGTTTACGGACAAACTGATGCACATACAAAACACAAACGGACAGATGGACAGAGACTATATCATAATTTGTCCGCCTTCTAACAGGCATATAAAAATGTTAGTTCGGACGCAAAAGTTCATTAGAAAGATGCAATCATCTTGGAGTCTAGAGGGAAAAGGTAAAGTGCTAATA